GAGAGAGAGCCAGAGAGAGAGAGAGCCAGAGACTTTGACTTTTAAACAACTTTTATTGCCGCCAGCAGCAAAAGCACTGGAGGCAATACACAGCCACCAGCAAACAAATGCAAATAAACGCTACAAATCCACGCGCTGTGCCGCTAAAAGCACCGCGCACAACACGAAAGAAAAGTCACGTGGTTGTAGTGGTCATCGCGCACGCCACGGTGACGAGCGAGCCGCAGAGAGAGAGAGAAAGAGAGCCAGAGAGAGCCAGAGAGAGAGCCAGAAAGAGCCAGAGAGAGCCAGAGAGAGAGAGAGGTGGGGGGGGGGGATGTAGGCTGTCAGTTCACGGACGCCCGCCTCCTGCTGCCTTGTTCCCACGAGGGCATCCCTTGACCTGATGCCCGGCTGGTGCTGTTTGTTGCTGGTTCCCAACGCTTCAGCGCGGCCTTGTTTAAACGCAAAGGAGAGGTGGGTGGGAATATATAAACTTAGACTTAGGTGGATAGCGGGGGGGCATGACACAGTCAAGTTTTGCAAATTTGAAAAATACTACACAGGGTGAATGAATGTGGTTGAGCCATTAGCGCCATCCAGCACCCCCACTACAATACAACGACGACGGATGTCGCTGCCAAGGTGCTCTGCTGGCGGGCAACTTAGCACCACAGCAGCCGAGAGCATGGTAGTCACCCATACGGGCGCGATCCTGGTTCAACCGTGAGATGCGATGAGATCGGGTGCATTACATTTAGTCTTCGGACAACAACAACAACGACAGAACATGGTCCCAAACCTGTCAACTCATACGGTTTACCCGTATTCTTGCACAGGGAAATAGAGTTTTCAGGTCCGTACGGCGTACAGCCGTTTGAATACGGGCAAAGCAAACGTCTATTTGTTTGTGTTTCTCTCTTGCGATGGGACTTTGTGGGATGAACGTTGAGATGTGTAAGGGCACGGGGTGACCGATGAGGTCTGAATTGGTCTGTAATAAGGTAGGGCACTGACAAGGGGTTGACAGGTATGTGGTCGACACAGCACTCAGGGTATGATGCGCACGGCGGCATGGCACTGATATAGTGTGCAAGTGCCCTTCCTGACCATCGCGTGAAAGGTCACCATCGTATTGGAGAATAACGAGCGCGTGCTTGCCATTTAAGATTCGCATTTGCAACAACAACAACAAACAACAACAACAAGCGACAACAAAAAGTCTATGCAGTCGGATCGGCTCGAGGGGTACAAACTTGGGGGTCACCGCTCGGAGCCGCCGGTCGCTCCGAGCCCCCCGGTGGCTCCAGCTCCGGATTTTGAGCCGCCCGCAATTTAAACTGGATCCTGCAATGCGACGAGCTGATTGGGTGAGCCCCGGTCACCGATGGCTGTACACGAACATCCCCCCGCCCCCACCGTATCAAAGTTGGTCTCTCCCACTTAATTTGGCTAAAATCCAGCTGTGAGAAATGACAAAGGGTTGTGGGTTGACAGTCACGCGAGGAACGCATCTCTGCAGGGCACGTGCATCGTGACTGCTTTCTTGTTTGAGCTCTTATTGCTTTGGTGCCATTTCTTCATTTGGTTATTCATTTTGATGATGCTTGGCGGCAGGGTTTGTGTGTGCGTCTTGGGCTTTTTTAGAGTATATGATATTTGGTCGTTTACATATATATAATGAATGTACAGCGTCGAAGGGATGATTTTGGCATGAATTACGCGATATAGAATGAAATGGAGTATTATTTAAAATGAAATTAAGTGTTTCTTGCTATTTTTTAATGTTACACCATCCTGCCCGGGTCAGCGCTTCGTCTCACCGGCCTCGCCAGACACGTGCTCCGCAGGGGACACAAGCGGCCTCTTTCAGCACTCCAGGGGGGGGAGGCCTTCTACGGCCCTCCAAAGGGGGCTGGGGGGGCCCAATAGGCATCCTACGGCGCTCCAGGGAGGCTGCGGGTACCCTAAAGGGCTGATATGGCCCTCACGTGATGGCACGGGAGACGAGGTCCGACCACGCGGCTCCGCGGTAGAATCGAAAAGGTTGCGAGTTCAAATTCTGACTGGGGGGATAAACCCAGCCGGTCCATCATCGTCATCATTCCTGCAGGGTCGATAGAATGCATGTGACTACCACTTCTTGGGGAAGTCAACACCGGTTGTCTGTCGGCATAGCCTCGCCCCTGTCGTAGGAATGTGGAATTTCCATCAGCGGCTCAAGGCTGCTCCGCTACCGACGCTCATTTGAGCAGAAAATCTAAATCACTTTTGGCTTTTTTGTTGACGGGGGGGGGGGGGGGGACCCCGAGCTGAGAGTTGGGATTCACGCGGCCGTGACCAATCCCCCCCACCCCCCCACCGTACGCCGATCGCCACAACTACAAATGCACGTCTCTGCACCCCCCCCCCCCTCTAATCCCGGCCAAACGTTAGCGCTTGACTGCCGGAGTGAGACCGGCGCCGTGGCAGAAAGGAGGGGGGGGGGCAGTGTGGAGGAAAGGGAGGGGGGTGGTTCGTGTAGAAAATCTCAGGACAACCGGCGATCTGCCGACTGATGTCCTGCCAACTTCCAGCCCCTGTGAGCTCCCCTCGCACTCGTCCTGGGTCCAGGGATATTGAAGCCTTCGCTTTGTAACATCTTGGGGAAATGAGGGCAGGGGGGGGGGGCGGAGAGAAGCAGCGAGCGTCTCCGAGTAACGCGTGCGAGTTGTTCACGCGCGCGCGTCGTTGACCCGCTTGTACGCGGCTGCTCGCGGGTGTCGTGTTCGGGTCCATGGGATGGGGGGGGGGGGAATATAAACGCGAGGCTGGCCGGAGGTCGTCGTGATTCGTCGAGCGGGGGGCACGAGGGGGGGAGGGCACAGGGGGGCACGTGGAGGGGGGTACGGGGGAAGCGGGTGGGGGTTCCTTTGTGGGGGGGTGGTGGTGGGGGGTTCAAACCTCGCCGTGGCCAAACGTTTCCTCTCGCGAAGCCACAAGAGGTCAAGGTGGTCTCCTGCGGCTTGAGGCATTGAGACGTCATCGGTGCCCAACTGCCGTTGACATCCCTGCGGAGCCCGCGGTGGGAGATGCCACATTCCACTGGTATGTGTGTTGAACTTCCTTCGCACCGTACGTAGCCAACCCGTGTTAATCGGAGGTGCGGTGAGCCTATCCATAGAACAAACGCCGTTGACGCCCCCCCCCCGCCCCACAAAGTGGTACCTATTTTGTCTACCCACCTGGAGGTACGATGGGCTGGAGTCGAATTCCAACGTGGCATTGTGAGGAGGCGCTCGCTCCACCGCGAGGCCATCTCCGGCCGGATTTCCCGCAACGGCGGCAGCGCACGTGCTGCCCGCGGCGCCTCGCCGGTTCTATCTCCTGGCGCGGCAGTTGAAACAATGGGGCGCGTTGATATTACATCTCCACCCACCCACCCACCCAACCCCGGGCCACCCGAATCTCCGTCCACTGAGCAGTAGGAATGGGCGCCACCACAGTTAGTCGATCGGGGGGTTCCACGCGCGGGCGGGGTCAAGTCTGGGTGCTCCGAACCTCTTCCAAGACGTCTGGACAGCGTGGAAGAGTAGGCCGAACACCCTCTAGGAAGGGGTTGCCTTGAAAAGCGCGCCTCAAGTGGAGGCCCCAGCAGCGATTGCAGGGATGCGCCTTTATCCCTTACTGTGAGCAGGAAGTACCGTTCCGTTATGAGCTGCGTTGTGTGGGGTGGAGGGGAGGGTGCTCGGCTATTTTGAGTTTGTGCAGTCGCCCTGTCAAGAGCTTATTTTAAGAGGCAGTACAGCAAGAAGGGGGGGGGCGGTGGGAGCGGTGGCGCATCGGTTAGAGCACTGCGCTGTATGAACGGGGGCGACTCGAGGAGTCCCAGACGCGGCTGACATCAGTGGGTGGCGAGTGAAACCTGAAAAAATAAACTGTCCTGGGGTCTCCTCGATTTGTAGCAACCTGTACCGACCAGCGTGGTGAAGTATGGTCAAAAGCACCCCCCTACCGCCCCCACGACCGACATGGCATCGGGAGGCTTTTTAATCCAGTTTGCGGTCGCTGTGAACTTTGCGGATTCATGAAAGTGAGCCCTCGTCCAAATCACCGCTCCTCCGGGGCGCGGCAGTTCTTCCTCCGCCATTCGATTGGCGCTTTCCAAGGTAAATAAATGACCGAAAATAATTTTATTTAAGTGCAAAATACTTGGAAGGGGTGTAAATGTCTTGCATAATGACTGATATCAACAAAAGAAAATCAAGAACACATATTTTCCAGCAACATTTCAGGCACAAAATCTGGCACCGGTTTAGACTTTCTGAGTTTAATCAGTTTAGGTGTGGTCTATTAAAACAAACGCTGTTGGACAAGCTTGTGTTTAGATGAATCGCTACGCCACACGTTTTGCCCCACAACGCACGCGAACATGGATGGAAGGCGTGTCAATAATGCCCTTCATTGTCGCCAGAGAAGCCTCACCGAGTCTCAAAAATTTATTTTTCAAGAGGCCTCTGCTCCACGTGGCCCAATTCCATTAATGAGTTGCACGTGGGTGGAAACCAGAGTACGGAGAGAAAAAGCCACCCGCGCGCACGAGAGGGTGTCACTCAAAGCCGCGCACAGATAGATCCAATGATCCGTTGCCTCTCGTGACCACCTTGCAGCCCATGCACGATGGCGTGTATGGTATTCCCAACGAGTCTCCCATCCACATGCTTAACCAATCTGCTTCGCTCCTGAGATTATCTGGCTCGCATTGAGCGCGATTTGAGTTGTACGGCTTCTCACTTTTCAGAGTTAACAACAACACAAATCAAGCCCCCTCGGCGTGCCGCCTACTCTCTCACTCGTTTCTCCCTCTCTGTTCTCTGATGCACAGTTGCCCCCACTCTTCCTCCCGACTCTCCCCTGCTCTCCTCCCCTACTCCCCCCCCCCTCTCTATTCCACACCCCCACCCACCCTCCAACACACACACACACGCGAGCGTCATCACCATCATCACAGAGGGGAAGGGAGGAGGGGCGTAGGAGCTATTCGCGAGCGACCCTGAAGATTCGTGGAGCAAATCCCAGCGCCGCGTCTGGCAGAGGAGGCGCGCCTGTGACCGCCGCCGCCGCTGCCACCACTCATCACAACCTCCTCGAGCGCCCCGAGTAATGCGCATTGTTACAGTCGAGCGACTCAACCGATTGTCCGAAGAGAGGCTCTGACTTTTTTTTGGTTTTTGTTAATGAGTAAATAAATGCGGCGATGATCAGCCGCTTGCGCAAACTGAAGACAGATTTCTCGTCCGGTCTTTAATTGGCGCCACGAGTTATCTGCGTGTCACGCGAGCCACTGCTTCGTTCTTAGGCGTGTTTGTACTTATCTGTGTATAGCGTTTATTGGGTTGAGGCGCTTGTATGTGTTGTATATGAAGGTAGGTGCATGCGACACGGACCGTGCGAAGTGCCCGCTAAATCTAATGCGGCTCTGACCAGGCTACCTGCTTGCAATCTTACATGACGTGAGTGAGACTGCGCGCTACCATGATGATGATGAAGATGATGCCTCGTCTCAGAGGTGTGGCGTTGTCATCTTATACGATGTCTCTTCTCGCTATCACGATGGCGACTTTACTTGCGCTTGGAGCAACACAGCCGAACACACAGCCCCGGAGGTCCCAACAGCACCATCATCAACAACAGCAACTGCAGCAACAACAGCAGCAGCGGACTCCTGTTCGGACCCCTCTTGTGGCGCAAAGACTTGCCCACCAATCAGCAGCAGCATCAGCAGCAGGGGCATCAGCAGCAGGGGCATCCGCAGCAGGGGCATCGGCGGTGATGGTGGCACCCGTGCAAACGAGACTACGCGGTCAAGGGACTCGCTTTGGGCACCAGGGAGACGCTCACGGCGCCACCACCACCACCACGAGTTCGGCTGGACGCGTCGACGGATATCAGGCCGGGAGGACGAGGGCGCGGGCCGTCGAAGGTGGCGCTGCCGGTGGCCACGGGAGAGGAGCGGGAGGAGGAGGAGGAGTGGTGGTGGCCACCGCGCTCGGTGCGAACCCGCGACCAGGCGTGCCCGGCCCCGCCCGTACCCAGGCCAACTCAGCCACAGCGCTCACAGGGTAACTCATTACAACCACACTCCCCACACCCACCCCACACTAACAAACTCCGGGTTATAAGACGCGGCCGGAAAGTAAGACGCACCAAAAAACTTGTACCCGGTGTCAATAACGTTGTACAAATCTGGTCGTACACACGCGCGCGCGCACGCGCACCGGATTATAAGACGCACTCGAAACTTGCTTTAAATAGCGTGGAGGTAGAAGTCGGAGGGGGGAGTTGCGTCTTATAATCCGGAAAATGGTAATTAAAATATATTAATGTTTAATGTGTACACCACTTTGTCGGTCAACCGCTGCATTCAAGCACCCCCCCCCCATCCCTCCTCCACTCCGTGGGTATTGTTTGACCATACTTCACCACGCAGGTCGGTGCGGATTCATCAATTTGGGCATAGGGGTGGGGGGGGGTGCCCAGGAACAGTTCGATCGATCGATTATCATTCCAGTGCAAATTAATGAACGATTGAATTTCCTGTGGGAGGAAAACAAACCCACCATCCGTACGAGGTGGGGGGGGGGGGGTTAACACTGAAAGCTCCGCACAGATGGAATGAGGAATCCACTCGCTGTTATTGCTCGAAAGCTAATGTTGCCTGTCCCTGCAGCGTAAGAACAGGTAACGTGAGATGTTTCCCACACAGCTCCATTGGGGGACAGGGCTATTAGAAACATTAGACTGTAGAGTGGAGCGACTCTGCAGTGGGTGGCGTGACGCGCTACACGAGTTCCATTCCCGACCACCACGGCTAACATCAGTGGCGCGTGATTCCTGAATCGGTCCCGAGCGCCCCTTGCCCCTTCGCCGACCCGCACTGACCAACGTGGTGAAGTATGAGAACGACGGCGTAGGGAGGGAGGCCTTGTACTAAAGAATGACTTTGTGAATGTACGCGCCACAATTAGTAAAAATGATTATGCAGTGTGATCCACTTAGAACAGAAATAAGTAAAAAAATGTTTTATATCAAAGCCTCTGCACGTATTTCACCAATCTCAATGTGCTTAGTTATCTATTGTTAACACTTTCCGCTGTACGATACGAGGCCGTCGCTTGATGCACACCCGTTCAACGACCTGCGAAGAAGGGAGAGCATCACCGTAAATCGGTGGCGCGTCGACAAATGGATCACCCAGCGTAATAGCCAAGGCAAAGGTGCAGGGCTGTTAAGAGGAGCACTTGGCCTACTCTTCCACGCTCGCCCAGACCTCTTGGACGAGGTGGGATGACCCACACTTTACCCCCCGCCACACGCGACCTGCCAGAACGACTGTCAATCTGCGTGCTCATATTTATATTTGCCGGGAGCACAGAGGAAGGGGGAGGAGGGGGGTCGGGGTAGGCGCGGTGTGGGTGGGGGCTTAAGAAACTGGCAACGATTGTTTATACTGCCGAGCCGGGAGATAGAAAGAATCGGCAACCTCTGCATTGCAAAACCGGTGCGCTAACCATTCGACACCACGGCAGCATCCTATATCAGAATCAGGATATTTCTTTAGACTGGAGGAATCCGATGAGCTACGAAGCTCTTTCACAGATGTGCAGTCGGGGCGGGTTTGAACGTTACAACAACAATTAATAAAAAAAACACGACAGGAGTGCAAAGTATATTTTAAAAAGTTAACAAATCACTTAAACAAATATACAAACTATGTTTTTTTACCTTACTAGGCAAAAACCCACTGAGCTATTTCGCTTCTTTTTCAAAAGCGACCTGACCACAAATGATTGCTCAACAAAGTGGCTTATCATGTGGAAATGTACAGCAGCCGAATTCTCAAAACGCGTGTTTCTGATTGCCTACAGAGGCCATTGACGACATACTCTACGGACAATCAGCACGGGCCCGGATTAACTTCAGAATGAGTGGGCGAATGCGTTCCCCAGTTCGTACTTGTGGTCTTGCCTTTGGACGTGTTGGGCAATCCAGAATGTGTTGTGACCATATCGCGTGCCGCGGTTTCTCCAGACTCAATGTCTGCGGTGGGCAATGCTGCCCGGGTTGGAGGCTGAGTCCCGGACTTCAGAAATGCACCAAACGTGAGTATGACGCGAGCCAAGCCTGTGGCTGGGTCACTGCCGTCGCGATTGAACCAGGGCTCAGTTTCCGCACACCCGGAACACCACATCCAGTATACCCCTCGCTTTGGCTATTTAGTTCAGTGCCAAATCGAACTCGTGTCGCCGGGGTTTCATAGCTCAGTGCTCTAAGCCACCGATCCACTACAATACAGGTATAAAGACAAAGATCCCCCGTATAGCCTCAACCGACTGTAGGGGCAAGTGCTGTTAGCGAGCGGCGATGAAGGCACACGAGGGGGTGGGTGGCCAGCACCACGCCCGGCACTCATTTGAGGCTGAGTCGACCTAGGGGAGGCCCAGGACCGTTTCAGATAATCGTCACTGGTGTTGGCCGTGAGCAGGAAATCGAACTCGGATCGCCGGGTTCGTAGCGCAGCGGCGCTAACCGCTACACTACCCCTCCCCACACACACACACATACCCGAACACACACACACACACTTAAACCCCCCGCCCCCAGTCGACAGCCCCCATTCAAGGTCTCTCCCCGCAAACAGAATGCCCCTTTCTCCCCCTCCCCTCTATCTGGGTAGTTTTTTTTTGTTTTAATGCCGACGAGCTCGGCAGTCTGTCGTGGACAGGTGCGTGCAACGCACGGGCACAGAGAGCTGCGTTATTGGGGTTGCACACAAACAGCAGCAATCATCGCCCCCCCCCCTACTGGCATCCAATTGCCCGCGCGCAGGCCAGGTGCCGAGTCACCTTGTGCCGCACAGGGATAGCTGCCACTGGGGGGCTTCAAATGTCTTGAGATGAGCTGTGATGTAAAGCCCCCCGCTAGGGCTCTCAATGCAATTCACTCCCTTCCTGTCCGTGCCGTCCAGCGCTGTCACACCGCACCGCACCGCGCCTCGCCATCGCCTCGTTGCACCCAAACACGTGGGGACATTGCAGACTTGACAACAGCCGTCTCCCCTCCGCTGTGGGTGAAACATCTCGCGTGTGAAATAGCGGGTTGGCTGCGGCCCCATCGCGTCGTGATGAGCGAGACGAGTCCCACTCTGTGCGAAGTCGACAGCGGACGTCACATGGCACGGCTGCCCCTCCCCCAACTGCCCCCGTCACGGGACTGTGGAATTTCCACCAAAGGCTCGCGACACTCAATGGAGATGGGCGTTGCTACGCATTGGCCTCTTCGAGCAGGGAGAATGGGTTGTTTAACGCGGTGTGGGGTTTTCTTTGGCACTGGATGTCTAATAAACTGTTAAAGTGGTGTTAAATGGCCGAGATGTGTGCCAAAGCTGTTTCGGTAGCTGTGATATTCGTGTACAATGTGAATCGTGGAGATTTTTTTGGCCATACTTCACCCACACTGGGGAGTGCGGGATCACGAAGGCCGGCAGCTGGAGAGTAGTTCAGTCACGGAATGAGATTGTGCCGCGTGCTGACCGGGCAGTCCTTGCAACATTAGCCTACATCGCCTGTTTGTATAACCACTTGGATGTCACTGGAAGTCCACCCATCCAAATAAATGAAGGTAGAATCCAGCGGTAGTAGTATCCGAGTAGTAGTCGTGAGTATCCAGGCCCGAATCCCCAGCTCAACTCCAGAGATCTGACATGATGGGGCGCATTCCCAGTAATTTGGTCATATGCACATTTGTGGTATTCGAAAAAAAACAACAGCCATGTGGGAGCCTATTAACGAGTGATCCTAGCTATGCCATGTGTTGTGTTTATACATCTGGCAGTGTGGATAGGGGTGGGGTGGTGGTGGGGGGGGGGGGATTGTGAGTGCAGTATACGCCCAGGCCAGATTAATCGACTTGCAGATTCCAATTACCCCAATTATCTCATTATGAATAATGCACGCGCAGAGCCCGCTTTGCCATTCTACTGCTGGATGAGGGTTCGCTGCAAGCCGCGCGGGTCACGGTGGCGAGTTATTTGCCCGTTAACCTCCGCTGTCGTAGACGTCTTCAAAGTCCACACATCGTGTCAGCGTGGCCACGTGGAATGCGCTGACCTCTGATGTAACACCACTTTGACGACTGAAACCCACGCGATTTCCAAAATAACGTGAACGACGCAGACAGAGAGAGAGAGAGAGAGTTTCGCCGACGCGAGCCAATGCCACAGCAGCGCTCTGTTTCTCTCTCTTTGTCTCTGTCCCAGGTAACTTGCAAATTTGAGCCTTATGCAATGATGTACTGTGCCGTGAGTGTACATACGGACAGCCGCGTACGCGCGGTGGTGCACGACAAGTGTGATCAACAGAGGGCATGTGAACTCACTTTAGAAGCATTTCCACTGCTTTAATGCCCCGTGCACATGGGACGGGTCGCGTTGGGTTGCCACCTGGCCTGGTTTTCCCAGGATTGTTCTCTTGTTCTGTTGGTAGCTGTCCTCGGAAATTTTTAAAGCTTGGAACATTAACAGTGGCAGTCTTTGTCAGTACCGGTGTAATAATGCCCCCCCCCCCCACGCACTCAAGACGATGTTTTCGGCCCGGTGGTTCAGCGGCAGAAAGAGTGGACTCGCAATCATGAAATGGACATTTGAATCCTGGTTGGCGTTGACTTAACCCATCATCCATTCTTGGTCGATAAAATACCTACAACTTTGTTGCGAAGTAAATCGTAGTTGTCCCATGGATAGACTCAACCAAGCGCCGTGGGAATGTGGAATTTCCACCACTGGCTCAGGGCTGTAAGCAAGGAGATGACCACCACTTCAATACTCATTTGATTTTGGATTGACTTTGACAAGACAGTGGATTGACGATTAGCTCCCAGCTTCTCTGAATTTGTGAGATTTGCTTCGTCTTCTTCCCGTGATATGTCCCGGTTTATTTCCATTTGGGAAGCACTCTCGCAGGGATCTATCTCTCTCCCTCTCTCGTGGATTATAAGACGGACTTTGGTCTCTCTCTTGCGTTGCTTCGCTCCTGATATTCCTCCGTTCATCCCGTCGAGTCTTTTCCCGCTCGTCACTCTTCTCACCTGTCTCTTCTTTACCCACTCTTATTCCTTCGATATTTTTGTCCATGTCTCGCTCTCTCTCTCGCTCTCTCTGGCTCCCCACATCACATCTGAGGATTGTCGCTACGATTACGCTCGGAAGGCGCCGGTCATTTGGAAGACGCATACTTGGGGTTTCTTGTTTTTCTCTCTCTCTCTCGTTCTACACGGCTGCTCGAAATATAAATACAAAACTAAACCTCTAAATTTTGTACCATTAACAAAATGTGCAGTGGACACCGACGGGAAATCTGCACATGGATCGCGATGATTATGATGATGCCATCCCTAAATACAAGTTTGAGTTTGTGTGAGAAAGTAGGTGACCAATCATCACTCCCCCCCCCCTGCACCCCCCCTCACCCCACCCACTGCACCCAGCCATCTGTACCCCTGCCTGCCAGAACGAGGGCATGTGCCTGCGACCACAGCTATGCCTCTGCAAGCCGGGATTCGCCGGACAGGCGTGCGAGGTGGTGAGGGCTCCCGCGCAGTTGCAGCCACACGGCGCCGCCAAGAAGCCGGCAGCCTCCCTGCTGCAGCCCGGTGACGGCCAGCCGCAGCAGAAGCAGCAGCAGCAGAAGCAGCAGCCGGAGCCAAGCGGTGATGGTGGTGGCGTTCCAAGCGGCGTGGCGTCACTGAACCGGAACCCAAACCGCAGCCACGCAGCGGCCGGGAGGTCACCGTGAGTGTCTGGGTCATTCTAATTCATATTGTTGCCATGATTAACGTTATATAGAGTCATAATTTTTGGTTGGAAATGGATAGTAAAAAGAAAACCCAGCGATTTTACTGCTCCCGTGTCACTGGCTCCGTATCACAGCCTCTCGGAAATGAATTGAGGTTGGGTCGTGTGCACGGGGGGGGTGGTGCGAGGGAGAAGCACAGGTAGTGCACGGGCCATCCAGCCCGCTCCGCTAACCCATAACACCTGGTGCTTAGCCCACGGGCAACGAACATGCACACACACGCAAACACATGCCGGCTTTTCACAAACACAAAAAGATGTCTGCTCAACACAGCTTTAGATCTTTTTTTTTACCCTCTTCTTTTTTTAAACCCACTTATGATGTTTAATCCATCGCATCGATTTGCAAGACATTTCTCGAAGAATAAACTCACCGTTGTACACTTATCGAATGACAACGTGCGTTGGAGACTCCGCTAATGTCTTCCCAAGACGTCAACCTTTGGGCTCTCAGAGCCGTGACCTTAGGGAGGCTCGTTTATCAAATTGCACCATGGAGGTCACGGTGAAGGTCACCATGGAGAGGGATCCAGGAGGGAGACAGTAGTGGTCGTGTTAGTCGCGCCCAACGTTTTTTGCTCTGCCCCCTTGCAGCGGAACAAGCTGACACGGTACCCAACACATTTTACGTGCAGCGTACTGTTTGATTTCTTACGCAGGTCAAAGGTTATAGGCGTCACATGGCCCATCATTAAAACGACAGGTCCCTGGTTCCTTGCGGTCAGAATCACCCCCGTGCCCGTCTCTGTGCAAGAGAAATTACTCAAGTGAGTGGCTGTGACCGACAGACCGACAGAGTATGTTTTATACAAATCAGGAGATCTAGGCAAAGATGACGGGATGGGGGGGGGAGGAGTTTGGTTATCTTCAGATAAGTGGGGGTGATAGGTCGAAGCGTACGTTGAGGACATTAAATAGAAAGAGGGAGGGGGGAGACAGGTCTCTGGTTCCACACAGTCGAGTTATTGTTGCCTTTCGGCGAGAGCTAACGAGTCCCCATAGAGTCGGGGCACAAGCCCGCTCCGTATATTGGGGGGCTCCCAGAGGCGCGTGGCAGCGGCCAGCATCGATGACTGTTGGCACAGTCCTGGTGATGAGTGCTGACGAGGTCGAAACAGGAAGAACGGCTGCGCGTGTGTCTTTGTTTCACTGCTGCCAGTCGCTGGGACGGCCCACGTCGTTCTCAACTCTGTGAGTCGGTGATTTCTGAACGACACAACGGCCACGCTGTTCAGTTCCTTTTGAGCTGGTGGTCTGGATAAGGCTGAGGGCATTAATACGTCTTTGTGTGTTGTTGATACACAGAGTCAGTCATCGGTAGAGGGAGAAGAGCCAAGACCCGAGCCAGAAGTCGCTGTGACCCCGGGGACTTGGGTTATGTGTTACTTTATTATTCCTACTGCTACTCTGCGTGTTTGCCCAGGAATACTCTTTTTCAGGAGGGTCCTGCCGAGGTTTCGCAGTCAGGGAAGCGATGTTATTGCCGCGTGTGATCCCAATCGAGTGATTTGCAGGGTAGTTTTTCGCGTCGGGATGTGATATCGTTTTTTTTATTCGCAATGGGAGGAAACCAGAGAACCCATGCAGAGCAGGGGGCGATCATACAAACTCCACACCAAGAGGCGCCCGATTTGGGAATCGTACCGAGGCTCTTGCTGCTCCGAGTTGAAGTTCGTTTGTTGAATCGGCTGAGGACTCAAGAGATCGTGGTGAGTGTCACTCTGCGAAAGTATCTTCGGTCATCAAAATTACAAAAGCAGTTCATACAATGAGATGAAGTACAATGCAGCAAGCGGAAATCACAACAAAAACAACTGTATCACGTGATGAGTCAAACATATTTCATGAACATAAATACGTATTAATTAAAAGTTAAATATTACATTCCCTGCAGCACAAATCGGCTCGGGGCAGGTACTTTTTAGATTGATCATAGTACAAATTACAAAATTACGGAGACATTGGACATTGAACAGCTATAGGGTGATTCATATGTAACAAGACAAGGCTATGTGTCAATTGCTATTGAATCTCTCATGAGATGGGAGGCAGATGAACCGACATTTTTTTTTGAAGCGATGGCTTCATCGTTCGCACGGTGGCAGTGGGCAGCAGCAGCGGCGGGCAGCAGGGTAATCCACCCACATTCATCCTCGCTCGAGTGCGAACACGTGGGCAGCCACGAGTGCTGCCCGCACCGTTGTGGGGAGTGGTGGCGCAGCGGTTAGCGCTCACGGCCACCAACCCCTTGGTCGACTCAACTTCAAAGAAGTAACCCGGTGTGGCGTGTTAACATCGTCGCTTGGGGAGACAAAGTGGCCGGGGGTGGTGGTGTTAGCCTGGCCCTCGTGTGCCGTGCCCGCCTTCATAGGTGGACGCTGACAGCACTTGCTCTCAATCAGTTCAAGGCTATATGGGGGATCTTTGTGCCTGTGTGTGTGCGCTGCGCGCGTGTGTGTGTGGGAGCTTTTGCGAAAGAGGGAACGTTTTGCGAGTGTGTGAGCGTTTGTGTGTCAGTGAGCGTGTTTCTATGTATTCGTGTCGCTCTCTACCGTGCAGAGCCTTCGTGTAGTGGTTAGCGCGCTGCGCTACGAACCTCGGCCCCCCGCGTTCGATTCCCGCTCACGGTTTTAACATCGGTGACGAATTTCTGAGCCGGTGCTGCACCTCCTCTAGGTCGACTCAGCCTTAAAACGAGTACCTCGATGCGGTGTGTAAACATCAGCTTTGTGGAGGGGAGACAAAGGCGGCCCGCGCGTGGTTGCTGGCCATCCACCCCGCTCCCTCGCATGTCGTGTCGACCTTCATTGAAGCTCACGAACAGCACTTGCCCCAGCGGTCTCTTTAGAGGCTTTTTGGCGACACTTTGTATTTGTGTTACAGTACTGTGAGCGTTGGGAAGGTATTGCATTTCGATTTAAAGCTTTCGTGACTACAGGGATTCATCTTCTTGGTTCTTTCGGTAGTCACGTAGAAGGGAAGTAATAAAATAATAAAAATAAATTATTTTATTATGTTTTATTTTTATTATTTTATTACTAATAAAAATAAATTATTTTATTATGTTTTATTTTTATTATTTTATTACTTCCCTTCTACGTGACTTTACTGAAAGAACCAAGAAGAGGTATTGCATTGCAAAGGCTGCCAACAGCTTTAGCTTTTCAGCAGTGCGTGTTTTACACCCCACCGGTGAGGGATATCGTAATTAACTCGTGTGTGTGTGTATCTTGATGTGTGTGTATCTTGATGTGTGTGTGTATCTTGATGTGTGTGTGTATCTTGATGTGTGTGTATCTTGATGTGTGTGTGTATCTTGATGTGTGTGCGTATCTTGATGTGTGTGTGTATCTTGATGTGTGTGCGTATCTTGATGTGTGTGTGTATCTTGATGTGTGTGCGTATCTTGATGTGTGTGTGTGTGCATCTTGATGTGTGTGTGTATCTTAATGTGTGTGTTTGTATCGGGGGAGCGGTAGTGCAGTGGTTAGCGCGCTGCGCGACCAATCCAGCGGAGCCGAGTTCCATGCCCGCTCAATGACCAATATCAGTGAGAATTTTATGAACACATCCTGGGCCTCCCCGAGTTCTGCTCAGCCTTACATGACTATTTGGTGCTGCGTGTTTCGACATCAGCACTGGGGGAGACAACGTCGATCGGGCATGGTCCTCGCCACACCACCGGTTTGTGCGCTGTCAGCCTTCTTCGGTGATCTCCACAGCACTTGCCCCTCCTACAGCTTGTGTACGCCAAACAGGGGATCTTTGTCTACATATCCCTCTAGTAGTGTTGGTGGTGCCTTTGGTGCAGTCTCATTGTCACAGCACGTACAACTCATGCAATAATAGCTCTTGCTTTGCGACTCGCAGATGGCAGTGATGCGGTGGTCGCCCAGCTGTTAGTTATCTCGATTAAAACGATTTTGCCTGCTCTCCAGGTCAAGTCACTCTCTCTCTCTCGCTTCTTCTGTCATCACATGGCGGCTCGCGATGAGACTGGATGAACTTTTTCCATTCCTCGGTCATGGTGATTGCTTCCCGTCGACGTACATTTTTCTTCGTTAACTTTCTCCTCCATTAGGCTGTCAGGCAGCCTCTTGTATGGACGGCCTCCCCCCAGTAAACATGCCAACGTTGTATCAACGTTAGAATGTGGGTTGGAACCATTGCACCAGCGTTGGCTTTAACGTTGGTTCGACGTTCCATGTTTACTGGGTCTATGTCTTGCTCCTGCCACATGGCAGTACAAGATCATCATCATCATCATCAGCAGCAGCAGCAGCCGTGATACATCCACTGCCAATCCCTGCCTTAGATTTTTCGCTAAGCTTTTGGGGCCACTACCCCATCCGCACACAAACCATGGCAGATGCTTGATGCGCAAATGTAAAATGGAAAACTCTCTGGCCAGAGTGCTGCTGTGGTCACCCAGAACACAACCGTAGAACATGGAACGACTCAATGCCCGATTCACAAATACGAAGGAGGCATCGTGACAGCGATAATTCGCCCCTCTGCCGCTCCTGATGCAATTATCTGGCGCAACCAGCTGAGTGTAAACGTATCGCTGTTGCCGCGCATCAAAGGCCTCCCAAACATTTCTTCCATTAATGAAGTCGCTCCTCTCCAGCACGTGACCTCCGACCTCTGGGAGCTCGTCTCGCTCCGCTGTCTTCCCCCGCTTCCTTCTTGAGCCGTCTCCGCTCCGCGTAATCGCCGAGCCATCGCCTCGGCGATCTGAACTCATGCAGAGGGCCCGTCTCTCGCTCGGGATGAGGTAACTTGCGCGGTGAGGGCGTCTCGGCCGCGCAGTTTGCCAAACGACGGCACGACCCGCAGCGGCGTTCCTCGCCAAAGCCTGCGAGCTGGCGCCGTTGGCTGAATCTCGGCCTACCCTTGGCTGTCGTACGACAGAGGCCACAAAGCTTTCACCATTT